ACTAAGACATTTGTTGGCATTTTTTTGATCTGTGCCAATCTCTGAAACTGGCACCTGACTTCTGAACAGGACACGGTGCTCTTGGAGAGTGTCCATACAAGTTATTTTAGGGCTTGTTCAGAGTGCCAGGAGCGCAGCATAAGTTTCCCTTTTCCTTGTTGTCAGCCTTGGTCAGAAGGCATTAACATGACCGTACTGAGAATAGCTTCAGGTACTTTAGAGGCTGCAATCCTCTTTGCAGAGAACAAGAGCTTGGTCAGTGTTTACCCAGCAGCTTGTAAACCTTCAGTTCACACTCAGTTTCAAAGGTAATTACAAAGGAAAAATAAAATGAGACGGAAGACTTTTAAAAATATGTGTCCAGCATAAAGTCAAAGTTGAGAATAAAGTCGAACGTTCACATTTTGACTTTATTGTTGACATGCAAAATAATAAAAGAAACCTTCCTCTTCTAATTTTTCTTTCTTTATTGTGGCTCTGTCTGAGGTAGTAGTGACTGCTTGGCCTTTTGCTTTGTGTTATCTTTTTTGTTGTTGTTATTGTGTTTGTTTTTATGCATTTATAAACATGCTAACAATGTAGCATACCAGCTAATATTCAGTGGGTTATTTTTCTAGTTTAAACAGGTGTGTTGTCCTAACATGCGATTGCGCAGACGAGCAGAGGACGCTGCACGTTCTGTCACAGCTGTGGGGGTGGCTGCTGTGGTTGCTCGCCGTGTTCTTGTTTGGCTTGTGTGGCAGTCCTGGCTCTGTGCCCAGTGACTGTCGGCTAGCACCCCCTCCCCCTCTCTCATACATACACACAAACAGCCCCTTTAATCGCAGCCCCCTCATCTTCATTGCTTCAGTGTGGGTCATTGAAGCATTTCTGTAGTGGCTGTGACAGTTCACCTTGGACACATTGACTCTCCTTTCTTTCCATCTCTGCTCGATTTTCTACCAATTTTGCACCCGCTTTTATTAGTCTGTCCTTGATCTCTCCCCAGTCTGACTGTTTTTCTTTTTTCCTTCCTTTGTCAGCAGAGTGAGCGTCTGGTTTTAAAAGAGACACCAAGCTCTAGTCCTGTCCTTCTGACAGGAGGGTATAGTTCCACAATAGAGCTGAGCTCATTGACCTGTGCCCTTCGTATCAACATGAGCCATGCTTCCATGCTACGGATGTGGCTCAGCCTGTTACTCTGAGTAAAAATCTAATCTTTATGTATTGGTTAAACTTTGTGTTATTCACAACTCTGAATCCAAGGGACACATCTACCCAGGGCAAGCAGGTGCTTGTAAATGAAATGGCAGCTCTCATTGAGAGAGACTCTCCCTGTCCTGCTAAGGGACCAAATGTTTCTTGAACTGAAATCATTTTGACGCTTTGCTCAGCACTCACTCCCCTCCTCCAGGTCGAAGGCCGACAGCAGCTCACAATAACTGGAGCATCTCTGTTATTCTCTGATCCTACGTGACACAAGCCCCACCGATGCCTTTGAAAGGAGCAGCACTCGCTATATTTAGTGTGGCAGCTGCACCAGCAGGTTTCATATCAGTGTGTGGAGGTGAAAATACGCATTTATGATATGAATTGATAGATAGGTCTGTAGCCGTGTTTTTTATATGGAGAAACAAATTGCAACAACCTAATCTCAGGCCCACAGTCTGGACTGTAGTTTGGTTATAAAGTCTCTGTTTATCATGCAGCTCCTTTTCACTGCTGCTGTTTTGAACCATCAGGCCTGTAGTGCTGTCAGTTCAGTTTTCAGCTCCAGCAAGCATTGAAGGCATGTGTGTAGAGGCCCGATGTGCAAGTGAGGGATAATGTCAGAAAATATTGTAGCCAGTTTGTAACTGTCAATACTTAATGATGGCATTTTTGTTTAAAAATAAAACTAGTCTCCACAATCTACAGTATAATTGTTCCAATGATCCAAGACTGACATCTTGTGTTTGTTTTATTCAAGATAGATAAATCTTTATTGTCCTCAAGGGCAGTTTTTTCACAGCCTGTAACAGGGCTGGGTGATATGACCAAAAAATTAAATCTCGTTTTTTCATTGTTGTGGATGATAGGTAGGTAGGTAGGTAGAACTTTATTGATCCCACAGTGGGGAAATTCCATCATTCACTATTGTAATAATTTTTTTCTGTCTATATGGTCTCAAGCCAAGACATGATTAAAAACATTAAAACTAGATGCTGTTCCCCAGTAACTAGAGCTATGTAGCTATATTAACCAAAGAAAAACATCAGTACTAGCAGGGCTGTTCTCCGTTTACATATTGTAAACACTGTGGATTGAAAAAGCCGTCCCTGGTAGGTTAGTAGTTAAGGTGCAGCGCTCTTGCCGCTGCGGCTCAGGTTAGAATCGGGGTTGTGTCAGGAAGGGCATCTGGCATAAAACACGTGCCAAATGGATTGAACACTAGGATTCAGAGGGTGGTGTCATTTGTCATTGCAGTGCAGTGTGTGCGATGTCTGAGAGGTCGGGAGTAGGAAGGCAGATGATCTTGGAAGTGGTTCGTGTACATCTTGATAAGCTAGCTTTTGTTGGAGATGGTTAACTTGTTTAAGAAGCAAGGAGAAAGGTTCAGCAAGAAGTGGACTATCCTTTTGTAAAGCAAGTAGGACTGGACCTGAATATCTTAATATTTGGATAATTGTTGGGTAGGAAATTGGTTTTCAGTTTTAGCATATTCGAATATTCACTGCTGTTGGCCGAAGATTGTTTATGAGGTAAAGAGGCATCACTCTGTAACACCACTGAATAATCAGAGTGAACAGAGTGGGATGTCTTCACAGGGAAAACTATCAGTCGATCTCACATCAGTGATGTAAATGTAGTACATTTTGAGTACACGCAAATGGTTATGAAGATTCGTTCTGTTCATCTGTTACATGAAATATTACATAACTTTCATTAGCTTTTTGTTTTGTTTTTGTTGTTGTTTTTTTAACCAAAAGTACTTCCAGATGGGCAAAGAGGTAAATGTCTGCCCCGAGCCACCGGAGAATATTTTAGTATTCGGAGCCCAAAATTTGCCATTCAAGACAGCCTTAAAAGCAACACCAGCAGGTCAGGAGCAACAGGAAGTGCTGTGAGTTTGTGTTTAACATGAAGTCTCTGCTTAAATCATTTATGGATATCACTTATGTGCCTGTTAACGATGAGTGTACTGTCAGTGAGCCCAAGATATTTAAAGTTGTTAACCTGTTCAGCTGTCTTACTGTGGAGGGAGGTGGGTTCAGTTCAGTGTGAGGTGTGTTTGATAATGTGAAGAGCAGTTTTTTTTTTTTTTTGTTTTGTTTTGTCAAGGTTCATCTGTAGGTTATCAGTGCACCGCTGTGTGAAGTGAGAAATGGGGAGTGAGAGGCTGTAACACTTATTGTCATGGAGTAACGAAAGTATGACTGCATCATCAGAATATTTGAAGGGGGGGGTGGGTGAAGGACTGATACAGTCAGAGCGTGTAAAGGAGTGGACAGAGGGCTCTGGCTGTGTGGATCCCACTGAACTGAGATGATCAATCCATGTGTATTTTCTTTATGAAATGTAAGTCAGTGTTGTTGCCACCCTACTGTAAAAGCCAGGAAACCCAAACTGTTTTACATGAGCTAAATGACTGAAACCTGTTCATAATAATTTTAGTTATTTCTAAGGCATAATGTAAAACATTGTTGTAAACTGAAAATCTTAGAGTTTTGGGCTGTTGGTTGAACAAAACAAGGCATTTGAAGGAGTCAACAAGGCATTTTATAGACCAAATGATTCACTGATGAATCAATAAAATGGTCTTGTTAGTTGTAGCCCTAGTTTAACTCTGTAAGTTCAACTGAATTCTCTTATCACTGTAGTTTTTTAAATGTTCCTTTACTGTTTTGATTGACATTTGCCGTCAAGGTCAAAGAAAAGTAGTCGCGAGAGGGGGAAAGGACAGGTTTTGTAGTTCCTGTGCTCCAGACAGCTGACTCTGTTGCTTCATTGGACGCTCAGACTTGTATTTTAATGTATGGTGCTTGTCCCATGTTCATCTTCTTTCTCGTTCCATTATTGAACCTCCACAGCCAAACTGATTAAGGGTGCTATCTGTCTCCACCCGACTGCTCACCAGGGCCTGGGGGAGCACTTGTTGCCAGGCAATGGCACAACTGCTGTCGCCTGCAGCAGCAGACATTTAGCAGGATAAATAGTCTGTGTACAATTTCACACTTAAGATTCAAACAACTTGATTACATTGCGTGTTTTTTAAAGTTCCTCTTCCCTCAGTCCATAAACAAACCTGGCCAATAGCTTTTACTTTTTCATTTATTTTTCTGTGTAGAGGATCAGGACAGATGAAGACTAGCTCTGAGCTGGATGCACTTGCATATGAATCAATGGGGCATTGTCATGTGTTTTCAGCTCTTGCGTGTCTGTTGTAAACATGTTGCCTCTCAGGGCCGAGTGCTGAAGATGTAGATGTTTTTTGAGACCATGTGAACAGATGAAAGGTGCACATAGTCATCTGTATTTTTATTCTGTTGTCTGCTCACGTGTTAGTTGTGTTGGGATCTGGGGACCTCGTCTCATAGGCCTCCACTATACTAGACCTGCAAGGCCTTCATAATGGTTCCCAGAACCAACCCTACACATCACAAACCTAACACACATGCACAGTTGAACACATCACAGGTTGTAAAGAAATATGCTACTCAAGAGTGAAATGCAAAACAAGCCTGCCTTCTCTGGTTTGGAGATTGTTTCACTGCTACACACGTGACCTTGTGTTACAACAGCAGCATCGACAACACTGTTTTTTACCTTGGAGAGCAACAACTGAGCAATGCTACTAAATGAGTTTGTAGTAATCGCTGTAGCAGGTGGTTACCTGCTGAGGAGCGGTACCTTTCTTATTAGTTGGTGTTTAGGATTAAAACCATGTCCTTCTCTCTCTCTTGCTCTGACTCTCTCTCCCTCTTTCTCTTTGTATTTAAGCTGTGAGAAGAAGCAAAAAAACACAAGCAGACAACCATTTGATGGAAGATAAGAAAAAGAAAAAGCAAGAAGAGAAGAAAAAGAGAGAAGCCCCTCAGAAAAAGGTGAGCTTGCGGGGGGCACACTCATCTTTTAGCTCTATTTACATCTGCCTACTGTTTGATCAGAACAAGTGTGGTACAGTACTTCCTCCAGCAGTGAAAAGAAGCACCACCCAAGCAAAACGTCTACTTCCTTTTTCCCCAGCCAGTCTTGGACGAGACTGGTGTGAAGCATTCTGCTGTTTTAAATGTTAAGAGGTGTACACCCAAAGCACATCTCTCCAGAGTGCCCAGGTGTTTTCTCTGCAGTTGTGTTGTATCAACCACATGCATATTGAGCACGTGCATTTTGTCATGTGTGTTTCCACAGGAAGCATCAACCACCCCATACCCCTGTTTATCACATTTTCCTTCATTGGGACTTATTTCAGTGTTAGATTAACAGGTTAGCCTGCTTTCCTCAGCGTTAACAGCACGTGATTGTGTATCCTTGAACCTTTTCAGTGCTGGCAGAAGTACTTTCTTAATGTGTGAGATGAGCATTTGTGTTATCTATTTTATTCCCTATCTAGCTAAAAGCCCAATGAACCCTGTCGAGGAGTATGAACATCAACGTTTAGCATGTTGATTAGCATGTTGATTGATGAGCAAAACCAGTGTCTAAACATGCAGCTCAGATGTTGATGGCACATCAACATGGCCCATGGTTTTCACCTGTATGTGGGAAAGATGCTTGTTGTATCATTTTGAGTTATTATGAGTTTTCTTTCTATTGCTAATATATATTCTCTCTCTTTTCAGGCCACAGAACAGTTAACCAAAGGTGAGTTGTGGACTTTTTGTGTTTAATATACATTGATTAAACAAGTTAAAGCAGTTATATAAAATAGGAGACTTTTTGTGCTGTTAAATCTTGTTTAGTGTTGCAATGTTCATGCAGGGTAGGGCAGTCGTCTCCTGACCAGCAAGTTGGTGGTTCGACTCCCGGTCTCCCCGCATGCCTAAGTGTCCCTGAGCAAGACACTGAACCCCGAATTGCTCCTGGTGGCTTGACTAGCGCCGGTGCATGGCAGCTTGTCGTCATCAGTGTGTGAATGTTGTGTGTGAATGGGTGAATGGTGTATCATCTCTGTAAAGCGCTTTGGCCAGTGCAACACACTGTGAGAAAGCGCTATATATAAAATATAAAAAAATACAGTCCAATAACACGGGTTTTCTGTGCAGGCAAAATTAGACTTTTTGTCTGTTTATCTGCCATGAACCTTGCTGAATTTGGGATATAATATTTTCAAACAGTAGGGAGACTGATTGTGTGTTACATCTAAAGACAACTCGGTAGACTGCCTTGCAATTTGGATATGAAGTATTAGCTTTTATTGTAGTAAAATATCTTACATTTTCAACTGAAAACAGCAGCAGCTACCTGAACCAAAATGGAGACTAGGTCCCCATACAGGACTAATAAGGAGCATGGGGCTGGAGCAGCTGCTCCTCAGGCCTCCCCATGGGCTCCTCAGGCAGACCTAGGAGGCTCGGGGTGAGGAGGAATCTCAGAAGGGGAGAAAGCAGAGCAAACATGAGAAAGGGAGGTGAATGAAGTGGAGTGAAAGGTGGCTTCTGTAGGAGGAGTGTGCTCTGTGGCCGCTGCAGACCCACATAGTCTCCCTGAGCCAGTGCTATTAATGAACAGAGAGAGGTGGGAAGGCAGCGATGGACAGTCAGTTAGCCCAGGAGCAGATCTCCTTGTCGGGATGAGCAGGCAGATGGGAGAGGGACTTAATGTCTCACAAGGGACTGGCAGTGTTAAATCTGATTAAAACTCCTGGTCACTGTTGACAGCATGGCCTTACCACAGTTAATGACAGCAGGGGAATGGATGCCTCATTACAAATGTGTGTTTTTGTAATCGGCTGTGTTCAGATAAATGTGTCTTTTGTTTTTTGTCGCAAATTTTGTCTAGATCAGGGATTTTCAACCAGTGGCCTGCGACCCCCTGGTGGTCTGTGAATGCATTTCACTGCATTCAATAATGTAGTTTGACTTAAGAAATCATTTAAAAAGTAAAATTAAACACATTTCCATGCATTAGTTATTGCTTGTGAATAATTAAATTCATGTAAATTTATAACATTTAGGTAAGCCAAGGTGATCTTCAGGATTGAAATAATGCCCATCCAGTTTATCTAGTGGCCCTTAGGTTGCTTCTTAGTCAGAATGGTGGTCCCTGGGTCACAATCAGCTGAAAACCCCTAGTCTGGATCAGTAAAAAGGCCTAAACTGACTTGTGCTCTCTTCTTGTGGGTACATATGACTGTGGACTGTCTTGACCTCCTGTTCTCTTTCTGACTGATGAGTTAATGGGACTAGTGTCCTCTCTCGCCTTGCCCGAGTCACCCTCAGGCCCGCACAGTTTAATGCACTAATGAACATGATCTGGGTTTGCTGTGTTCATATTCTCTTTGTCTCTTACCTACTTTGTGCTGTTTTGTTGCATCTGCAAATTGACCTATATACTTTGCTTTCCTCCCCATCATCAAACTAGGCTGTAATGTGCACAGTTATTTTCTTGGCGGCTGCTCGTAACGGTTAACGTGTCCTGACCTCATTTTCTTGTGTTCTTCACCTCTTTAAATGTCTCATTTGACTTTTTTGCACATTGTGCCTATGTGTGCTCCACTGTGTTCGTACCCACCATTTATCTAGGATGGTTTTCTTTTAAAAGAATTTTATATTTGAGGATTAAGTGTTTTATTTAACTTATCAATAGTTCATTTAATTGAAAATCTTTTGACAGGTAGAAGAGTCTCTTCAAGAATATTAATAAATATAATTTTGATGGCAAAGATGTGATTCATTTAACACTAATGACTAAACACTAATGGCTCAGCCACTATAAGAAGAGCATACAAACAATCAATGGACAAAAATCACATTTTTGACAGCGATTAAGTGACTGATCAACTTACGGAGACAGATTGTAATACTAATGCAGGGTACACTGGGAGCTAATTAAGAGAGAAGGTCTAGCATGGAGGCTGAATAAACAGGCATCCATACACAGGAGATCTCCAGGAAAACCCTGAGCACCATAGTAACACTACACCGCCTTCTGTCTGGTCTAGCAGAGAGGCCCACCATGGGACCAGAGGGAAAGGGAAGCATAAGAAGGTGGGCTGTTAGAAAAGAGATGGGATGAATTATTGTGGTTACATTTATGCTAAGTATAGGGTAGCGGCTTTTAAAGTATGGTGTCTTTGGTTGATGTGAGAGAACTGGAAAAAGGCATGTGAAAGCAAAAGAAACAGATGGAGCCAAATGAAAGTGTGAGAGTGCCTCTAGTTTCCTGTTTGCCAGCACAGTGAAGGGGGCCCTTTGTGGGATATTTCTAGTGGTTCATTTGGTTGTCTAACACACATTTTTACATATATGGTTTTGCCTTGCTTCTTACAGATGCCACACAAAACCTTCTTCCTCACTATAGCCCACAGTAACAATCTTGTTAATTTCATTAGCAGTTGTAGCTTATTCATTTATTTTATAACAGTAGAGTTTTGGCATGTAGTCTATTATTTTAAAAGCCAGGACCTGTTCCAGACAAGAAGAACTGAACTCTGCAGGTCTTGAAAATTTCATTTCCTGAAAATAAAAAGGCCTTTAAAGGTATTAAAAAGTCTTAAATTTAATTTAGAAAAGTAGTAGGCAATGTTTCTTGCCTGCTTGTTGGCAGTAATGTCTGTTATAAAATGTTTCTCTGTCTGTCTGCAGTTTCTTAGGAGACACTGCACACCTGTAAACTGAAATTGAGCCAGAAGGGATTGGGATTATTGCAACAGTGCATTTGTGCGCGCAGGAGGCTATTCAGCCCTTTTTGTGGAGTTCAGTCAGCACTATCAAACCTATAGTCAACACTGTCACCTCGGTCTTTATTTTAGCAAGAAAGTAAATAAATGATCATTTTTAATTGATAAGTTCATTCATCTATAATCCACTAATATCATTATAAATAATTGCCATCTACTTATAGGCAGAACTGGAAAAATGTATTTTTATAATAAATAAATGCAGATCATATTGTCCTTTGCATTCATCGGCTGATATGTTGTTCTAAGTAGTGTTAAAATGATTTTTAAAAGTCTTTATTTTAACTTGGCAAACCCTGGAAGTAGATGACGGATGAGTGTGATAGTGTGAAGCATCAGCCCCATCACAGGTCTTGTGTCCCACAGCAGAGGCCTCCTGCCATCACCAAGTTGTACTAGAGTTATTGTCTAAGGGTTAATGAGTTATGTCTTTCTCTTCATGCTGTGCGTTTTTATCCCTATCACAGATGAAGGTAAATGTAAGTTCACATTAAGGTGCACATTTACTACATTTACTAGTATTATAAAGTAGTGTCACAGCAGTAATTTCATAACAGACTAATTTGCTGTTTCACACTCTCTTAATTACGCCCAGCGCTTTGTGTCAAAGAGTCATACATTGCGGTGCCATCAGGTAGGAATTTATACCAGTGTACCTCTCGTCATCATTGCCACCTTGTTTACCTCTTACCCCATAGAGTACAGCTTAAATGGATACTGCAGTGGTGATGATAAACAACATTTTAAAGAGCTACGGCAGCAACAGCTTGATTCTGTCACTGTGGAGTGGAGTTCGGTCATTAATGCAGCTGACAGGTGGACCTGGTTTCGACTCTCGGGGTACAGTGTAATCTGCCCAAAAAACTCCTTTAAGGGCCACACAGATGGTAGAGTTTAGTCTGTCAGGAAAAACTGAGGTGCCTCTGAATGTTGGACAGTTTATTTTTTCTTTTCACTTGACCCACACAGGACTCTCTCTAAGTAATAACAAATAGTTGAATCTGGTCTGCCTGCAACTGTTGGCACAGCATGGTATGGATGAGTCCAGGGAAGCTGCTGTCCCTGTCCTCCACCTGTCTTCTCAGAGCAGCAATCCTCCTCTACTGCGTCAGCCAGCTGTGACACACCTACCAGAATGTATATAAATATATATATAGTTCTGAGATACTTATTAAAATATGAGCATGATTACTGCTGCTGCTGAGAGCAACTGATGCTGACTTACATTAGTATATTATACCACTCACATGTGTGATTATGAAGCTCCATTCAGACATCTAGAGCGTATTTGATAAATACTCTGATCTAGCGTATACGTATAGCCTTGTGTTCTTTATACTTCTGTCAGATATTAAGCACTTTTAAATAGTATTTTTCTCTGTATGAATGTAGTGCAGCTAGGGAGGGTTTTCCTCCTTAACTACAGTGTCATATTTATTCACTTTTAATTAAGGCCTTTAATCTTCATTCTTGTGAGACACACTGCTCACATTTTAAAGCCCACAGGAGGAAAGAGACGGAGAACCTTACAGACATGCCCCCAATCCTCACTCTTCATTCATTGATAATATTTCTCATGCTCCCTCTTTAATAGACATCTGATAAGGATCTAGTAATTTCCCTGTTTCCTCTTTTACTTCAATCAGAGGATTATACTATGACAGTTTGGCAGCAAGGGCATCGGGAATGAAAGGCTTATAGTGACCTTTTTAAACAACAAACAGGAAACATTTTGTGTTGGTTTACTGGTTTTGATTCAGTGTTGGGTACTTAAATCTGCAACTTTCAGATTTTATTTCTTTGCTGAGCTTCATTTTGTCACAGGACTTCTGCAAAGGACAGTTTTTGTTAAGAAGAAGAAAAAGACTATGCCAGTCATGTCTGTCGTTTGGACATTGAGTAACAGTGGCCCTGTTTAGAACGAAATGTGCCGTAGGTAGATTTAAAAAGCGTCATTCAGACCTCAGCTTGGCCGATTAAAGGCTCAGCTATGGAAAGCTTATAATCACTTGTAAACTGAACTTTTGTATGCATATGTGTGTATACTCCACCCAGGAGCAAGGCGACCCGCTTTGCTGAATGGAAAGCAGTGTCACCATGGTGCTTTTATTGTAGCCTAGGTAAAAGTACATTGATAGTATTGGAATCGCCAGCGATCCATCTCCCAAGCACTGAGGTCCACATTTGACGTTCTGCCAGTACCAGCATTTAGGTGACATGCTCTTTGCACAGAGGAAAACGTCTCCTGCAGTTCAGAACAAAGTGCTTAAGATTTTGAAGAGCAGTACACAGTCCATTGTAATTTGATAAAATGTGTGTACTTGTAACTTGTAAATGTCCTGCAGTGATTTCTTTTATTAAATACAACAGGTCAACACTGGACACCATTACTGATCTAGATCAGACTAGAGTATTCCAGGTTTCCTGACTGTGCACCTCCACTCATAAAACATTTTATCTTCGGGGTCGTGTGGCCTGTTTTTGTGCTTTCCCTTCAGGGGTGAGTTCCCTTCCATATACCTTTAACTCTCCGATATATTCTCAGGCAACCTCCTCACAACATTTTGGTCTTAAACAGTCAGGCCAACATGTTATCATCTTCTCTTGCGGTAAATTAAGACTCCTTTTTAAGTGAAAACACATAGGCCTAAGGCCACAGTGCATATTTGATTAACCTCTAATTTTCCTGTGCGCCCACACAGCTGAGGACTGTGTCAGAGAGAGTGACTTGGATCTCTTTCTACTCTGGTTCACGATTTTTGTGCCAAACACCGCCCAGTGAGACTTGTACTTAAAAGCCACACTTTCACGATGCAAGAAATATTTACTTGTTTTTATCTGTGAGTTTCATCATCAGTATATATGTAATTATTAGAACAATTACTTTAGTTCATCTGTTAGTTTGATGCTGATGAATGTGCAAGGCTTGCACTGTTCTTTTGAAAAGATGAGTCTAAAGCAGCGTGGCATACTGCAGGCAAATAGTGTTCTAATTGTAAGCGGATTTAGACCCAAGCTGGATTCAGGCAGTGAGACTTGAGCTCACAGTGGAGCGCACAAGGGGGTGGAGACTGTCTTACATACGCACACACCATTCTCTTCATCTTTCGTCCTCCCTGCTCTACCTCCTTTCCTTCCTCCGCAAGTCAGCTGATCATTGCGCTGCTCTCTCCCTCTCTCCCTCTCCTTCCCACTCCCTCTGTGTCTCCTCCATGTGATTGGTTGACAGAGCAGCAAGCTAGCTCCCCCCCTCCCCCAGCTTCCAGAAGAATCTACGTCACACGTCAGAGAGTCCCAACTGTATAACGCTTGCCTTCATAACTATTATTATACATTATGGCACAACCACAGAGTCCTTTGTTTTTAAGAGGAAATCACCTCTTAAAGCCAGCAGCTAGGATTTGCCTGGAATTATTGTGTCTGTCTGCCTAATGCAGTAATAATAACAAAAGGATAACGGTAGGTTACAGTGAGCGAAGGAGAAAGGAAAGGAGAGCACAGGAAGGCAGAGAGGAAATGGAGCACATGTAGAGAAATATGATGAGAGGCAGACTCCAGCTTCAGAGAGAGAGGGGGACACACGGACACAAACTACTTTAGACCATGCAGTCATTGGTTGTGGTACCGGGGGCCAAAATTACATAAAAAGCCTCACACATTCTCAAGCAGTTGGTTGTAATATGTAAGCGAGCATGTCTCTTAGTATTTACAAGGCTGTGCAAATATATGTTCCCCGACACCATCCCGTCTTTCCCCTCAGTGTGGGCCTCAGCATTACATAAGTCTTTGTTTTTGTGTGTGTGTCAGTCTGGCCGCATGTGTGTGAGTTATTCACTGCTTCACTGCACACACTTGGGATGGCAGCCAGTGGTGAAGCACTGCTCTTTGTAACTCATTTAGGCCACACAAAGATTTTCTTTTTCTTCTGGTCCCTGCCTCCATAAGTGTTTTTTTTTTTTTCTCCTTTCCCATTTTATTTTATTACCAGCAAGGAACGCTGATCAACTGATGTTTGTCTACAGCATGTGTAGGTTTTAATCACCTTTTTTTTTTGCATCCTGTTTACATTCTAGTCTACCAGCTTATTCTGTTATGTAATGAAATGTATTGAGGCAGTTGTTCTGTCAGCTTTGTGTCCCACAATACAGCAGCAGGCATGTGACCCTCGAGCCGATCTTTCTGTTTGACCTAATGGTGAACTATTCCACATTCAGTATATTAGCCTGCTCAGGATTTTATGCTTTGTTTATAGCTCACAGTTTTGGCTTCAACTTTCTTTTTGGGGTGTGGAGCTCGTCTTTGGGCCAGGTATAACAATGTGCAGAACATAGCTGCGGCAATTAGTAGAAAAATAATCGGCAACTATTGTGATCAGTGAGTAATTGTTTTCAGTATTTTAAAAAGTCTAAAATTGTTTTCTTCCTTCCTTCTATGATGGTAAACTCAGTGTGTTTGGCTTTTTTGGTTTGTTTTTGGAAGTGACCAAACGAGACATTTGAATAGATCACCTTAGGACTTGGGAAATTGGGATGGACATTTTTCACAATTGTCTGACTTCTTGTTGTCCCAGCAACTCATCAGTTAATTGAGAAAATAATCAACAGATTGATCAGTTAAAAAAAAAAACGACGACGACTGTGCGCTACCTGCTCAGCACCAAATGGCAGTGAGACACAGGTAGAGAGTAGCTGCTGAACATCGTGGATCATTTAGCTACTAAAGGGTTGGATATTTCTCTAAGGAGTTGCTAGAGACCAGAAACAGCGAACTAAATGATGGTGAATGTTTGATTTACATTTGTCAGGTGGCCAGAGATACAACTCCAAATCGATGATAATGTTGCTTCGTAACTGATGGACGCGTAAATAAGCAACTGTTTTCTAACAAATTAACCACATTAACGTAATTAAAAGGTGATGATATATTGATGTTGTGATTAGATCTTGTCTCCAGTGCTCCCAAGTGGTGAAAAATTCAAGTATTCAAGGTTTAATTCGGGTATTGCAGGTTTAAGAAAGAATGAGAAAATGTATTTACTTCTAGTGCCTCTGTTAAACTTGGCTTCTTGGCTGAAATGTTGCAAAATGATAAGAAACCAAGCCAAACATAGACCATTGGAAATGACTGGCAAGAGCCAAGGTGTGTGTGTGTGTGTGTGTGTGTGTGTGTGTGTGTGTGTGTGTGTGAGAGAGAGAGAGAGAGAGAGAGTGGGAGAATCGTACTCTGTTGCTAAGGGTAACTAAAGCTAGTGGGACTGTAAGAGCAGTTAATAATGAACTACTTTGGTAGAGCACTGAGAGGTGATCGTTTCAGGGGCCACAAACCATGTATAGCTTATGTTGATGGGGCCGAGCACTCTTTAGTGTACTGTCCTGACAGAGACAATAGCCTATAATAATGCTGCAAGCAGGTCCAAGTCCATTATCTGCTACTTGAACTTTTCATTACTTCTAATCTGTGACCAGGCACCATGGCAGACTGTGAGAGTCGTGTGTCTTGGCCATCCCTAAAGACTGAAGGTTTATTACAGTACCGCCCTAAGATTATTACGGTTCTCTGGTTCTCCAGAGAGCAGCCATGTGTTTAGGCTGACCACTGCCTAAAATCCAGCTTCAGGCTGCTGGGAGAAACAAAGACTCTTAGTTTGCCTTTATGAATTTAACATCCTGGTCGTCATCCAAAACTGACCATGACCTAGAAAATAAGCAATGCAGGAAATACACAGCCACTGCCGTTTTCCAGAAATGACTGTACTGAAGCTGTAATGGTGATTGTTTTTTGTATGCTTATATGTGCTACTAATATAATGCAAATATTAAATATAGTTCAAATATAATGACACATTCAATCAGTCATCTTTTTGTTTGGCTTATTGACTTATTGCATTTTAACATACAGTGTGGGGGTGTGGTATGCAGGCTCCACAGCTGAGGACAAAAGGGCTTTGCAGAGGGCTATAAACACTGCCCAAAAAATCATTGGCAGCCCACTGCTCTCCCTGGACGACATAACTAGATCCCGCTGCCACAGAAAAATTAAGGCCATCACAGGGGATCCCCCACATCCCGCCCATCACCTGTTTGACCTGTTGCTTTCTCGAAGGCGCTTCAGGTCAATCAAGTCTCATACCACCAGACTCACAAATAGTTTCTTCCCCTGGACCATTCAGATCGCTAACAATCACTGATACCTTTCCCCAATACACACACAAACACCTATGTACACGCTACCATAACCATGGACTTCCTACTTTCTACGTCAGTGGAATTATTAGGTCTTAGGCCTGTCGGTATGTAAGACTATTTATATTTATATTACAGTGTGCTCTCTTTCTAATGTGTATATTTATTGCACCTTATCTTAATGTTCTAGTGCTTATTTAACTTAGCCCTTTTGAATTTAATGTTTATTTTATGTCCTCTGAAGTGCACCATTGTTGGCAGAGCACCCACGGTTTTGTTATGCTCCTATTGTGCGATGACAATAAAATCTACTCTATTCTGTTCTATTCTATGAATCATATTAAACAGTCAGTAATTGTTTTGGCACCAGTGTGCAATCAACAACTCTGTTTTTGCCTCCTCTACCCCCCTCACCACTTTCCCACTTCCACAGTGCCAGACTCTGCCAAGTTCGACCCCACCCCTCCTCTTCCCCCTGTCAACCCCAGTGCCATCCCATCGGTATCCCCAAGCAGTGGCAATGGCAAGCGTGCCCCCTCCGGAGGCCAGCCACAGACAGCACAGCAGCTCCAGACTCTGCTTCAGCAGCGCTACCTGCCCAGAGAGGTACCCCCTCGCTTCCGCCAACAGGAGCACAAGCAGCTGTTGAAGAGGGGCCAGCCTCTGCCCTCTGGGACCTTGCCTCTCACCACCACGGGACTTCCTGCTACTATTGAACCTGCAGCAGCTATACAGTCTTCTTCCTCTACAGCCAGCTTACCTACAGGTTAGCCTTGGCACCCTGTTGGCCATTCATTATCTTGTATCAAAAGGCATTCACTGGGTATTGAAAGGGAATGCAGTTAAAATATCTTGGAAAAAACATCTAGTGTAGATGCAGCAATGGGGGTTGCAGTGTATCTATGGCCTGATATAGATGAGATGTGTGACTTCACCTCACCTGAGAATGATGACTAGAATTCAGTAACAAAAATAACAGGTCAGTTGACTGAAAAACTTCAGCATGGAGGCACCATTCACTTTTGTCAAGTGACAGTTCCAGTAAAGTTTGTTCAAACAAGACACCCACAACCTCAACAAACAAAAAGAGAAAAAGCAGCATTATGGTGAACAGTCGTACTGTGAATGCACAGTAAAAGAAAAGAAGATAAAAGTATGGAGGTGCAAATGGCTACAAGATGTAGACAACATGGCCTGCTCCGCAGCAGGTTTTGGTTTTACATATCACAGCAGTCTCCGTCAAGTTTAGTAACAACATATAAAAAACAACTCTAATAATATTACAACAAGCTCATGACAGCTTTTAATGCATCTTTTGACGGCCTCCATTGGAACTGTTTACAAGACAGCTGACCAGTATCCAGAATCCAACCAGTTGTCCAAGAGCCAGATCCCTGATCAGTCTTCACCATGACCCCATTCAAACTGCATGTTGAACAATAACCAGTCTGACAGAAATTCAGCCGAAATCTAATATTAGTCAGGGGTGACGAGTGTTAGGGTTAAAATGTATCCATAAAGTGTGTGTCTGGCTACACAGGGCACTCAAGATGTTGCCGTTTTTATTTAGCATTCATCCTGACGGCGTTTGACTTCGTATCAGCTTTGCCCAGAGTTGCTGTATTTTGCATTCACTGGCCTTCCCAGATGACAATGGCTATGTCTGCTCTTGTTCATTTTTTTGTGGTTGTAATAGTGTGATGTACTTGTAGAGAAGTGCAAGCCACTTGCTTCACAGGTGCTGCTGACTTGTTTATTTTCACTTAGCCTGACTGGGAATTAGAAATGTGGATAGAGGAGTACAGGGGTAGAGAATAGAGAGTAAACACAGCTGGCTACAGTATCTCTAAAGGTCTGTGTGCTTTCTTTCCTGGTGCTCTGCATGTCACTGTGAACCAGGTTCTCATGTATTTCTAAGCGGTAAAGGTCTATTCTTTCATAATCAAGTATCATCCGGTCTTGGATGATGATGTTTAAAATTCTTTTTAGAGCACTTGGCACTTTTCACTGTCTGGGAAGGAAGACAAATTTTACCAGAAGTGTGTGTCTGAGCATCATCCAAGTCCTCTGATGCTGTTTGAATGCAGCTCTATCTCCATGGTGATGAGATGTTTATCCTGTCCTTGTTTCTTCCTCCTCCCTCTCATCATCATCCTCCTAGTCTTCATTGAACTTTGCCGACCAGCCCTACAGTATTTCCTGTTTTTGGAGGAGGAGCAATATGGAACTAGCTAGCTGGCTGGGTGCCTCAGTGGGTCTGACCTGGCGCTGATAGAAAGACTGAGAGGGAAAGAAAGAAGGAGAGAGCAAGCATGGCAGAGGTCCAGTACTGCGGGCTGAAGTGACTCATAGCTTACGGTAAAAGCTGCTTCTTCTCTCCGCCCCTCTTTGGCAAGCCTGCTCTGCTCTGCTCTGCTTTTGCTCTCTGTGTGTCTTTGAACTGACTGATTACATTAGGACAGACAGAAGGAGCTTCCAGCCTGAAAGACACAAGTCCAGTGGGAAGTTTTTGCATATGCCTAAAGAGATACTGCAGTATTCATAGTGACTAAAATGTGCACAGAAGTTTTCACACAAGCACAAACCTCCTCTGTGTCCCTTTACATTTCTTCATGTGTTTCCTCAACCATTGAATGTCTTAATTTAAATCCTCATAACTTAAAGCTTATATTTTGATACTGAAAAGGCTCTTCTGCCACAGATTACCTTTATTTCACTCTTGTGGGTTTATTTCTTTTTTTTTTTTTTTTATTATCAACCATCCAGTAGCTGTAAAATACCAGTATAACCAGTGTGATGCAAAATATTTACTCAAAAGTGAGTAAATATTTAGTAAAATATGCAGCAATGTTATTTAACACACAGTGCACCACAGGTAGTCCTACCTTCATCACTCTGTCCCTACTGCCTTGTCTGTGCTGGTAGAATAGTTGTTCCTGTTCCTGCTTTCACTTCTTGACGATGGCTCACAGCAGGAGCACTCTCCACTCTCCCTCTTCTTTCCCTCCATCGACTCCATGTGTTCTCACCCCGTCTTTCATTACCCGGTCACATGGCGGCTCTCTTGAAAAGTAAGACTGATAACGGTGGTCCGTGTCCAAATGTAAACATGATCATTCAGGTAAATACACAGATGTTCTCTTCCTCTGTATGTCTTCACTAGATTTATTAGTCTTAGTGTGGATTATCAGGGGTAGAACTAGATAAGTATTACTTCTTTCTACTCCTTTGCAAGCATGTAATGATCATTTATCATCATGAGATATTTTTTTCCCTGGGTCTGGTTGTTTTGAGGTATATATTGATCATGATTTCTTTTCCCTTATCTGTTTTATTATATGCTTGGAATTAATAAATAAAAAAATAAAAAAATAATGCACTCAACAATCTCAGCCAGTTTAGTTTGATTAGTCTAGAATCAAAGATTTAGTTTGTAGTCCTGTGATGTGTCGGTGATATCATTAAGTAGATATAGTTACTTCCTGCCTTTGATTAACACCTTTGTTAAACCCCATAAAATAATGATCAAAGGTTTATGTACCAATAGACACGGTACCTGCCAAATACAACACAGGCCGACACCAACAACAAACATCTTAATTTGAACAGGCCTTGTCAAGTGATAGAGCAGTGCAGCTAATGTGCAAATAGCTTGTCTAGCGGAGAACAGAGTGTATGCTGGTTAGACTCGACGTGCTCTTTAAGTCTGCTGATGATGCAGTAAAACAGCCTTGGGAATCCCCTCAAAGAGGACTGGGATGTGCAGTGTTGTGATTGAACATCAGCTGTCTGTTCACCACAAATCTTCAGCACTCACTCTTGTTTTTCTTTCTCGTCTCACTTGCTCTGTTCCCTTAACTTTCTCTGCTGTGCTAGTCGCTCTCAGATGCTCACGTGTTCACCTCTTCCACCTCTGCTATGCCAACACCGTAGCTCACACACACCATCATTGGCCCCAGGGTAGCCAGGATTAGTCAGGCTGCATGTTATTATACAGTATGTATGTCTGTCAGTGTTCCTATTATTATAGCCTTCTCCCAGTGTTGCCTTTTGCTTGGCTACCAATCCATATCCCAAGGCACTTTCATGTGGAAGAGGCATGAGAGAACAAGCTATTTTAAGACTGGCATGCTGGAGAAAGCCCTTGACCTGGTTTATCCTTTTGAGGAGGAGGAGACAGGATTCTCATACGCAACTATGATGGCCAAATGTCTTAAATGTGTACTTTAAAAAAAAGAAGAACCTTGACATCATAACATTGTATTAACAGGAAAGCAGCTGAAAAAAAAGAGCATCCAGAAGGAACAGAATTCCTTGTTTATATTTTTGTGCACTTCATGCCATAAAGTCTCTGCTGTTGTTTCTAGGATGAATACAGTTCAGCATGCCATCTGTGCCACCTCAACATATTCCCAACAGTAGCAGCAACAATAAAGCTACAGTGTTATGTGTGCGCTCGGCCTAGAGCACAGTAACTCCTGATTCTGTGTATAGCTAATGGCAGCTGGCACTGTATCCTATTTCCTGTGGCATGTCAGGAAACGCAGACCAGTGTTGCCCTGACCCTCCCTGAGAGTGCTCAGACTCTGTTCTCTGAAATTGATCAGTTCAGTGGAGTTCCCTATACACTTGCATTTAGAGCAGCATTCACAGTAGATCAACTGAAATTTATAAGTGATTTGTACCATGCTGAAATGTGAGTTTTGAGATTCCTGTGGTAGCACCATAACCAAGACAAATGCTGTTAACATAGAGGATTTATATTAGTAGATGCAGGCCATAATAATTTCATTATTCAAAACTCTGATTTAGTGCCTAATCAGTTTCATCTTTAGATCATTTCAGCTGCTTTAAGTATGGTTTATGCTAAATGCAAACACATTTAGACCTGCAACTAGCAAATATAATCAGTATAATCAGTTCAATTTCTTGATTGAAAATGGCCATTGCATTTCACAGGGCCCAAGGTGACGCGTCAGCTTCATTGTTTCCTCAGAACAGTGGTTTAAAAAATAGCAATTTTCAGTTTATTCTTGTATGACCAAAAAATCCCTTGGATTTAAGACACTGTGACATTTTGGTTGAGATGTGACTGAAATGCTTAATTTATCTAACTAGTTAATTTATTGTAATAGCTGATTACAATTTGAATGCAATTTTATGTAAATCAAATAATTAGTTATGCAATTAATCATTACAGCTCTAAACACATTTACGTCGCTTAGTTACTCTTAGTTACTAAGCCACTTAGTTACTTGCTGTCAGTAAGTGGACCTGCTGTAATGTTACTAATAACTTTAAAAAACAGTCAGTGTAACCTAAGCACTTCCTGCTCTTCCTGTATAGCGATGTTCTGTTTTAGTGCACCAAATCAAAGTTATTTGAGGTGTTTGTGATCATTAAAAACACAGAGGTAGCAAATTCCTGTGAAATGAGGTGTGTGTGTGTCTGTCAGACTCATTCATCTGGCTGGCAGCCTGCATTGTTAGCTGTGTACCATCCAGCCTCTCTGCCCCTTTGGGGCTTCATTAAGACAGGATCAGTCCAGCTGAGGCCCACACGGCCCACCTAGATTACTTCCTCCTTCCATCACTCAACATCTATGTCTCCTTCATTTTCTGTCCTCTCTGTCTTTGTAAATTAATTCCTCTGGATCCTTTTTTACCTGACCCTCGTTGCGAACCACCTTCCCACCGTTCATATATGTTGTCCGTTTTGTTAAATGAAAGATGTTGGAACCCTGAAAGAAAGTAAAAAGAGAAGTGTTGCCTTCTGAGCTGAGCATTAGGACAGTAGTGTGTGTTTTCTATTTGTCAGTATTTTTTTTTTTTTTTGTTCTCACGGAAATGTTACGTCTACAGTGTGTGTATGTCAACATGCAGAAAGAAGCAAGCTGCCATGTAGTAGCACAGCACAACCTCACCACATGTTGTGTCCTCACAGTGGAGAAGCACAGGGGGCTGAACCTCAGCTATAAAGGGACGCTGTTCTCCACCAAACATTGACTTATTGTGTTTTTGCGTGGGTGTCCGGATCATTTGTAAACAATACCAGCCTTGATCCAGGGAACTGCAGCTCTTTCCTTCTTGTGCCAAGTACCCATTCCATTATCCTCCTCCCTCCATGCCTTTCGTTTAGTCTCATGCACCTCTTCTTCTGTTGTCTTTCTATGCAATCTCTGTACCTGCTGTAGTTTCAGTGCCATGTTTAGAACTAGATCAAAGGTCCCTAATCGTTCACTGTGACCAGATCCATGTGAACTTGCTCCTTTCAAGTTCTGCCCTGTGACCAGAAAGCAGCCAAATGCAAAGGTAGCAATCTGTCCAAAACGTAGTCCTTCTGCTTTTGACCATAATAGACATTAAGCATTATGGATGTTCTGATGATATGGCTGTTCATAGATAAACACGTGCGTGTGTGAGAAAATTGCCATTCCAGCATCGAAGGAGGTGCTGCAGGCTTTTGTGAGGTTTCTCTTGAACTCTCTTGCCTGCCACAGCTATTCATGGGGCCTTCTATTGTGGGCGGCAGTGCTAATTGCAGATGGAGTGGTCTTGGCTAAATATTTTGTGACAGTTTTGAAAGATGGGAGGGCGGGGGAGATTAGAAGAGTCCCCCTTTTGTTTTGTCTTTCCCTCGTCTTGTGAGTGCATAATGAAAGTCTCCAGGCTTTATCGTTCAGCAGTTAACAAACCCATCTCTCCACTGCTCCCATCCCCTCCCCCAGCTAGCTTTTTTCAGTGCTTTTCTAGTGAGAGACTGTGAGAGGGAGAGAGAAAGAATATCTTCCTCAGGATAGGAATAGAGCATGATATAAATAAAGCCACAGGGAGGCAATAGATAGAAGAGGAGAGACCCAGCCAAAGCTGTGCTGGTGGGAGGGGCAGAGTATGAGGAGTGAGGAAGGAAGGGAGGGGGGTTGTTTCATGCCGTGCAAGAGCTGTGCAACTTCTTGGCAGCATTTCAGAAATGAACCTCAGAAGCTTGGCAAGCCGAGCAGACATATTGAGACAAGGATGGTCGCTGCGTCGCACAAAAACTAGCTCTTTACAGGATGGTTGGGAGGCATCTCTCCACAGGTATTTCACTAATGTGTTGCACATCTCCCCTTCTTCCTTCTTGTCTCCGTTTTTTTTCCTCTTGCCTTTCTCTTCTGCATTGTTTTGGTTGCTTGTGTTTACATACTGTGTGCGGTTGAGTATTTTTAAGCATTAAAGCTACAGCGTCAGCATGACCCTGCATTTTAGGGTTCTTATATTTTGAGTTTCTTACTGTGAGTGAGGCATGTGTGCTGTTGAAGCAGTGGTATTAGAAATAGCTCAGAGCCTTTTTGGCTTTAGGTCAGGACTGAGAAAATGGCGGTCCTGCACTTCTCAGTGGAGTGACGCTACAAAACGACTGTGCTGTGTGTGTCAGAAACACAGTGCCCTCTTTCTCGCCCCTGCTCTATCACTCACTCCTCTCTCTCTCTCGTTTAGTTGCAAGCATTGAAGTCAGGTTGAAAATGGGGGGTGGTACGCAAATGCTGTCACTTCCCTCATGTAATTGTGACACAATATCTGTGTACAAACTAAGCATGCATGTAAAGGCACATGTAAACAACAGCAGCTGTAGCACGATGGACAGCTGAAATGAGAAATGAGGTGGCACCAAGCTGATCAGTGCAGCAATAATGATGTGCAACTTGGCTTACATTTTATCAGCATAGTCCATATGCACAGTAGAATTCAAGGGAGTTGACTCACTCCACGGGGCTCCAAGAGAAACAAGCCAAAGCATTACTTTGTACAGGCAGATGAAGCTGATGGGAGTAAGGAGTCAGGCTGCTCGGGGCTTGTGCAGAGTTTTTCTGCTTCATGTCAATAATTGTACTGGTTAGAAGGTCAGACATTAAGGAGGACTTTGCTGCACGGTCCCTGTTACTGATGACATTCTCCAGTGAGATTCCCCAATATGACAAAATATAGCATAACCTGAAGATACAGCACAGGACTTCTCATTTCATATGTGACAGAAGCATGCATGATATAATGGCGTTGATCAAAAGGATTTCCATGTCGTACAGTTTTCATTTGGTTCATTTTTAACCCTATAGTATTTGCTAAATATTTTGTATGTATTTACTGAAAATGTAATAACTTTTATTATCAGGTTTTTATTTATTTTTATTATTACAACAAGCAAATATTAAAATTCACATTTGAAGCAAACTCAGATAATAAAAAACAAGCCAATTAAGGTGAATCAAGCCCCTTGTAGCTCGCCCCGTGACTGCTTTATTGGAGCGATATTTTTGTAGTACACATACTTAAACCACCCTGTAGTGTAGCCTGTAATTATACTTTGAACATCTTCACATCTGACTGTGAGATCATGATTAGCATTGGCCCTGTCTTGTTTGGATAGAGTGCATAAATGTTGTATTTATTTACTAATTAAAGCTCTCTAGACTATCATGTTAGTCATTCTCCCCCCTGTGTTTGCATTTCCAGTGTGGGTAGCATTAAAGCATCTTGTGAAGTCTATTAGTCTTATGTGTTGCTATGGTAGTTCAACATTACTAAGCTATGTGGGTGTGATGACGTACATAACTTATATCTCCCTTCTCTCACCCTCTCACTCATGCCAGTTTTCTATTATTTTTCTTTCCTCCCACACAGAACTGCCCCCACAGAGCAGCCAGGGAACCCAGTATGATAATCCCCACTGGGGACACCTGCCAGCCAACAGGAGTGCCACAAGTGCTGCATCTTCCACCAATCTCAGTGGCTGGGAGCAACTGATCATTGACCCGAAAGACACAGAGGCTTGGCCTTCTATTACTCTCAGCCAGAGCCAGGCCCCTCCAGGAGGATGCCCTTTGGATACTGACTCTGGTCTCCTGACCAGCAGCAGCAGCAGCAGTAGTACTAGTAGTAGTTGTAGTACAGTGAGCATGGCCACAGGGACCAATAGTCAGACAGGCCACTTCTCTGCCAACCACCTTTGCAGCAAGGCCAACAGTGGGCCTAGCTCTGCCAGTCATACTGGAACCAGCATGCTCTCTAGCCAGGTTGCAGCCAATTGCAGCTGGGGCTCTGGGCCTGGACCCTCCCATTGCCCCACTCAGTCCTCAGTGGGGAGTGAAGGGAAGAATGACAGCCCTGTGATCGGAGGAGGCAGCAGGTGCTGGGGCTCTTCTTCTTCTTCCTCCACAACCAACTTTAACTTGAACCTAAACCCTAATGCCAACCCGTCTGCCTGGCCTATGCTGGGGCATGATGGGGGTGGCAGAGGGGGAGGCAGCTCAGGAGGAGCCAGCACCATTTCACCTCCTCAACCTACACCCAACCTCTGTAATCCGCCTGGCCCCCCACCAGCCCAGACCAGCACATGTACTGGAGCCAACACTAACAGCAACTCCTCGGGAATTGGCGGCGCCTGGGGTAATATAATGGCTTCTGAGACATCAGAGCCGCACCCCTCCCCGTCCACGAATGTGTCTTTCAGTTCAGAACCTCAGAACCTTAAAACTGACGGACCAAATCATACTAATAAGCAGGAACCCCCCAGCCCTATTCGCAACTTACCTGGCTGGGGTAGTGGACCTGTAGGCTTGGGTTCCATGGGCCAGTCCCCACCTGGGGGTCCACAGGTTAATGGAGAAGATGGTAGTTCAGTATGGGGTAACAGTGGTGACTCGAAGGCACCTTCATCTAAGGAGGCACCTAGCTGGGGCCATGGTGGAGGTGGAGCAGGAAACTCTGGAGGTTGGGGTGACCAGTCCAGTGGAGACTGGGGGAAGCAGCACACTGAAGAAGCTCCGGGAGGCTGGGAGGCCCCCAACTCTCCTCCTCAGGATCCACAGGCTAGTTCCTGGAGTAGAGCTATGAGTACAGCTGGTGCCAGTGAAGGGAGCAGTGACAGCATGGAAGGACATCCTCGGCGAAGAGACCACCCTTCCAGAGATAATCCAGCTCCTCTGCTACCTGCCCAGGATTTGGACCCCAGGGTGCTGTGTAACACTGGCTGGGGACAGACCCCTGTTCGTCAGCACACCTCCTGGGACATGGATGATACTAAGCGTAAGAATGATGTAGGCACTGAATCATGGGGCTCTGGCCCAACCACTCCAAGTGATGTCCAGGGGCCCTCCAACACTAACATGGGCCACACTCAGAGGGCTGACTCTGGGAGCAAAAATGATGTGCCTGGTTCTCAGGGAGCTTCAGGTTGGGGTGGAAGCATAGCTGCTACCAACCAGTCCAGCTCTGGCTGGGGAGAACCACCCAACAACATTAAGCCCCCAGGTGGCCCTGGTGGCTGGGGAAACCCTCCAACAGGAGCCTCCACCACCACTATGCCCAAGAATGGTGGTCAGTCCTGGGGAGAGGAGAAGTCAGCTGGGTGGGATGAATCTCAAATCAAGACACCATCCCAGAGCTGGGGAGCACAACCCAAAACATCCCATGGCTGGGGCAATAGTGGAGGGAGCAATAACACAGGGGACTGGGGAGAACCAGAAGAGAGCAAAAAGAGTCCCACCAACCCTGCCTGGGAGGGAGAAGCAGGAGGCTGGAAGGAAAACCCACATGGTTGGGGAATACCTAATTCAGGACCTGGGATATCTGGATCTGCAGGAAATGGGGGCTGGGGAGAGCCAGCTTCCCAGCGTTCCAGTGGCCCTCCTCAAGGTTGGGGAGGTAAGCCTCAGGATGGGCCCAGTGTTAGTAGTGGAGGAGGGGGCATAGGCTCTTGGAGTGCGTCGGGCTCAGTGAAGCAGGGTGGAGGCTGGGGTGGCAGTAAGCAGGAGTCCTCAGGTGAGCCTACAGGCTGGGAAGAGCCCTCCCCACCGTCAATCCGACGTAAGATGGAGATAGACGATGGGACCTCAGCTTGGGGTGACCCTGGTGCCTACAACAAGGCAGTCAACCTGTGGGACAGAAACAATCCAGGAATGACGCAGGCTAAAGTTACCGCTGCAGGCAGTAACCCCCCAGGTCCCAGCAACAGCCAACCCCACTCTCACAATCACCCCTATCACGGGCCACCTACACCTTTACAGAACCACAGCCAAAACTCCCAAAACCCAGGACCAACTAGTGTGCCCATGGATCCTGTTGTGCAGCACCAGCCTGGGCCATCTCACAGCAGGGGTCCCCTGATAACTCAAGGTGAGCCAACACAGTGCTCTGGTTTTGCAACATGTCCTCCTGCCACATAGCCAAGTGGGTTAGATTCATTGACTTGCACTATACAGATCAATTACACGGACAACATTCACATTTTAAAGGTGGTTTTGTTTTGGATAAACAACATCAAACTCAAGGTGGATCGTCTTAAGTGCAGATGTTCTGTTTCTCCCTGTAGTGTTCACAGTAAAGGTGTCAACCATGAAAGCTGGCCATGTAGTTAGCACAGTGCACTGTTAACCTCCAAGCTCTTGAGCCACTTAAAGGTAAAATATTGAACTACTTTGCTTTCTTTGGATTTATATCTAATTGACTGTTCAGATGAGTTAAGCAGCCAGCACCCCTGTCCCTCCCTGAGGCTCCTCACGTTTCATAACACCGGCCACATCTGTGCAGACGTGGGTACCCAAAGGAAGCACAAAAATGTTGTTTACAAACTGTCTTGTGAAAATAGAGAAAATAGTGATTCACCACAAACAGTTTGAGATGAATCGGAAGTGTGTGATTATTTGGAAGCCGCCATCTGTCAGTAGTTGAAGGGCGGACGTGGAGCAAGCCCCTAGGACCTGAGAGGATCCAGACGCCCCCTGCTGTCCCTTACTTGACCCAGCATTCTGATTTCACATTAATTTAATTACTGTACATCCTAATAAAACCTGATAGCAGTCCCTTTTACTTGAGCATGTAGTGAGTTAAAAGTGCTTGTTTAGTTTTTGTTTACAATACCGTGAGGTTTTGACCTTACCATTTAAAGTGCCTTGAGATTACCTGTTGCTGTGATTTGGTGCTATACAAATAAAATTTAATTGAATTTTTGAAAAAAAATAAGGATAACATCTCAGTAAACATCACTAATGTCAGAACGTTGTGGGAAAAAAAACAAGGAAATGAAGTTTGTTTATCACACTGTTATGTTTAGAGCAGGCCAATCGTACTAGAAGGTTGAATGGTAGCTATAATTCTGGAGCGGCCTTTAGGACTTGACCTTTCCCTGTAGAGAAAGCTAAGCTGAGCCTGGCACCACCACAGGCCCAGAGACAGCACTGTGGTTTTCATGCCAAAAAGGACTGGGGTGTGCCAAATCTTAAATGGGCTTCTCCTCCCTCTGTCAGCCAGCCTGCTATGCCAAGCCCAGGTTTCTGCCTCCCTGCATGACTGCCACTTGACACTCCAAAGCAGAAAGATAAACGTGGCAATGGTGTTGAGCACAGGCATATTCAAATTTCATGCTCAGTTTAGATCAACAAATAGAAGGCAAATCAGAAAATAAAAGAATGTGAGTGCTATGCTTTTTTTTAGGTCTGTTGTATGCATTGTAATTAAAATAAATATTCTCACGTGCAATTAAAGATTTTTTTTTTCTTAACCTCCATGTGTTAGGCTTACAGTCTTCACATGTAACATTACCAGTCATTACCTAATCACAAGTGAGATAGCCCCAGTGCCAAAATTTGTGAGTAGATAGCCATTTAGAACAAAAAGTTCCATAATTATAAATTAATAGTGTCTCTTTCTGCCTTCTTACAATAAAATGAGCTAAGTGAGACACAATCCATGATTTTTGTAGTTACTGGCTTATGTTCAGTAAAGTCTTTTTATTGAAAGGCCTTTGTCCTTGTGTGTCCTCCAGGTTGGGGAGAGCTAACCAGCTCCCATACAAAATCCGAGAGCTCCTGGGGGGAACCTGCACCCTCGCCAGTCAGCGTGGACAACGGAACGTCTGCCTGGGGCAAACCTAGTGGGAACTGTGGAGGCTGGGGCGACAACAACCCGGACAGCTATGGCAGGGCCAACCCAACAATGACATCTGCATCTTGCAAACCTGGTAAATATTTTAGCCCTGCATGGTTTTATGAATTCTTCTTTCACCAAGTGTGTATACGTTTGAGGAGTAATTACAACTCATTGACGCTTCACTGGTGAACAAAAGTTAACCATCTCCTGGTGAGTCAAATCAAGGACAACAGTATGGCACAAGAGAAGGGGGAGCACTGGAAACCAGACATTCACACTGACCCCTAGTGGCAGTGTAATAATAATACATGTGCATCATGTTATGTACTTTTTCATTTTACTGTATGTTTTAAGTTATTTTCTCAGATTTGGATTAAAACAGAGCTCACTAGCAAGAGGACAACCTGCTGCATGTTTGACTTTACCTTGAGCCAGTTGGATGCGAAGATGTAAATGGTTGAATCCTCCAAATGAAAACCTCTCATTCAGTGAAGGTTATATTGATGCTATCAGGCACTCATGTTTTTTTTTTTTTTCCTATAATGAAAAATATGTGTAATGTATGTCAGAATTATCTAAATGAACACATTATTTATCTGTTTTCCAGCCCCCAAACCTATGCAAGACGGATGGGGAGGTGGAGGTGAGGAGCTGAGCCTGTCGAGTGGCCAGTGGGATGCTGAGGACGGGGACATGTGGAACAGCGCTGCCTCCCAGGAGAGCAACTCTTCCTGTAACTCCTGGGGCAATGCATCCAAAAAGGGCCCACAAAAGGTGTGAAGAACGGTTAATTATATATTGAATGGTCCCTTAGTCCTTTAGAAACAATGTCACATTACATTTTCATTGTAAAATATTACTGAGTATTAATTTTCTATCATCATGTCCCCCAGGGGAAGGTTCCAGGGAAGCAGGAAGATGCCTGGATCATGAATCGTCTGATTAAACAGCTGACAGACATGGGTTTCCCTGTGAGTCGACCTGCACTGCTGTTAATCAACCTTGTGATTGTCTTTTATTATTTATGTAGTTCTTTTTTTAACCTAGGATCAATGATGGTTGAATCACCATACTGTTAAACATTTACACGGGTATGCAAAGCCACTGAAGAATGAAGACTTTAAACATTCAGCATCAAAAAGTACACTGAACACCTGTTTTTGCTCGATGTCATCTATTTAAATACTTCTTCCAAAAAGAAGTCATATTTGTTTTACCAATCTTAATTCTGGATTTTAATGTTTGTCTTTTTAATTTGTTTCAAACTCAAACTGTATTGATGTAAAAATATATTTTTTGTTGTATGCCACTCTAAAACTGCAACGACTAGTCAATTCATTTATTTGCCTTTTGACAAAAACTGTATTTGGGAATTATTTAGATGATCACTTAATGCCAGAATTCTTTGCTTTTCTCCAGCTGCTCAAATGTGAAATGTATTTTAGGACAGAAAACTTTGTTGCTTATGTTTTAAACTTTTTCTTTCAAACGTTATCACTTCAGTGCACAGCCGGAGCATACAGCGTGAGACCAGGACCCAAATCTAATTATCATCAAGATGTGATTTGTGTTTGTAACATTAGCTGTGAAAAGGTTTAAATGATAAACAGTAGGTTGATCAGTGAGTACAATTTGATTTGTTTCTGCGTTATTGATGCTTTCTGGTTTATTCTCCAGAGGGATCCGGCAGAGGAAGCTCTGAAGACTAACAACATGAACCTGGACCAGGCCATGAGTGCCCTGCTGGAGAAGAAGATGGAGCTGGACAAGCGCGGGATGGGGATAGCCGGCCACGACTACAACAATGGGCTCATCAACAAGCCCATGAGCTGCCCTCGGCCTCCGCTTCTTTCCAAAGACCCCTCAGCAGACTCCCGCTTGCCCTTCATGGATAAGGTGAGTCAGTCATTTATTAATTTACATAAATATATACTTAACATGAAATACTGTAGTTTTTAATTGAACACAGTATTGCACCATATGTGCCATTGGCAATATTATTACAGTGTTGTCCTTTAATGAGGACATAATTTTGGTTCACATGAAATGCCAGATCATAACAAATCAACAATAAGGCTTTTTATTTCACCCCCCTCCATCTCTTGTTGTTTTGGACATCATTGTTTTACTATAATTGCATTAGGTGATACTGAGATCACTTGCTTTCCACTCTCATTTTGTGATCATCTTCTGAATTTGTCTGTTGCAACTTGAACATAGATAATTGAATGTTTTTTAAGGGCTTATGGCATCCATCTATTCCACCTGGAATAGATGCTGATCAAATTGATTAGAAGGCGGGTAATGGAACAACCTCTTCTTGGGGTGTGCTTGACTGAAGTAGAAGTTGACTGGCTCTGTCCTTTGACTCCTTTCAGCAGATGCAGAGTGGAATGTTTGGCAGCGGTGGAGCAGCACAAGCCCGGGCCATGCAGCAGCCGCAGCCAACTCCGCAGCCGCCAGTGCCACCTCTCAGCTCCTCGCAGCCTAGTCTACGTGCTCAAGTGCCTCAGTTTCTCTCCCCTCAGGTATACACGCACACACACACACACACACACATATATATATACAGTATATATATATATAAGCACATGGACGTGGGGCCTCATTTCTCAATCACTATCCAAACAGATTAGTGAGTAAAGTGTTTTAATGTATGCGGTGTTAAAAATTTCACAATCACATTGCATTCTTTAACGATTTCTCCAGTATGAGTTCCCCGTTTGTTTTGTATCTGCTTATGCCTCTTTATAAATTCTTTATATATCAATTAAAGGGCATCTCACACACTAAGCACAAACATTTGTTTTTGTTTACATTTTGTTTAAATGTTGTGTTTTTGATGTTGGTCCACAGGTTCAAGCACAGCTCTTACAGTTTGCAGCAAAAAACATCGGTCTGAATCCTGCACTTTTAACCTCACCAATAAATCCTCAACATATGACCCTTCTGAATCAACTTTACCAGCTGCAACTGGTGAGTCTCACTCAGCCTCGTCTGCTTTCTGATTTGTTAGATATGGCACATATCTTTGACCACAAACTCACAACGAGCCCTGATGGGTTAAGAGTATTTTAACTTGCCATTTGTATTATTCTTGCACTCTTGTACCTGATGCATAGGCATACCAGCGTTTACAAATTCAGCAGCAGATGTTGCAGGCGCAGCGCAACGTTTCTGGCCCCATTCGACAACAAGAGCAGCAAGTAAGTTTCCATCACAACCATCAATTTTGTCGTCTCCTGCAGACTTATTTATAATTACTTTATCTAAATAAAGCTGCTTGAATGAAAACTAGTATCCAGGTCAGTAGTTGTTTCAGTTGTTATTCATATGACCTGCATCGATCTAGATCATAAATATGTCTCTGCTGTGGTGTCGTCCCAGGTTGCACGTACAATCAATAACATGCAGCAACAGATCCAACAGCACCAGCGCCAGCTGGCCCAGGCCCTGCTCATGAAGCAGCAGCAACAGCAGCCACCCCTCTCCCACTCAGGCCTGCATCCTGGTGGGGCCAAATCTACCCTGGATTCATTTCCAGGTCCTCCCCAGGCTCAAGGCCTCCCTGACCTGCAGACCAAAGAGCCACAGTCATCTCCCAACACCTACAGCCCCTACTCTCTCTGTGAGTGGCATCTGCCTTGCTTTTTGAATAGAAAATAGATCCACTAATCCTTGTGTAGTAACATTTCACCATTCTGTCAATCTTTTCAGCTGGACTGAATCCAAACATGAATGTAAACTGCATGGAAGTGGGAGGTATGTCTATGAAGGAACCCCCTCAGCCCCAGTCACGCCTGTCACAGTGGACTCACCCCAACTCCATCGAAAGCCTCTCTGGTAGCTCCTCTCCTCTAGAGCCCAACCTTGGCAAGCATGGTGAGTAGGCAAATTTATCCTGGCTAATTAAAGATGAGCTAGAGAACCTTTCATTTTATATTGAATTCCAAGATTGCATTTATAATGACGGATCATTTTCCCTAATAAAGCACCATAACAGTATTTCTTTTTAAATTAATCTTCATTCCCAGTTGTAACATTAGACCCCTTTTACACCTAGTGCCTATGTTCAGGCTGCAAGATGCAGATTTGAAATGTGGATCAGGCACGAAGGTATATATGCATCGTAATACATGCAAGAAAGATGTTAAAATTTCTGTTCAGATCACCACATAAGTGTTGGGCCTGCCCACATCAGCCCAGGAGACCAAGACCACAGTCTTGAGACTTGCTGGACTCAGAAAAGCCCTTTTACCCAGACATTAACCCTTGTGTTCTGTTAAGGATCATAAAAAACTTAGCATTAAAGGCACGTAATACTTTTTTGGTTGAACATGTTTTTGTTTCATTTCACTTCTCTCAGGTGCCAGCCTGGGCCCCCCTGGTAAGCCCCCTCAGCTGGAAGACTCTTACAACCCTTACAACTTGATGTCCAGCTCAGAGTCTCCTACCAGCCCCCTGGTCCCCCAAGACAGCTGGGGACAGGGCAAGAGCAGCAGTGACAAGATGGCCAATGGGACCAGTATCAACTGGCCACCAGGTTAGGAACACGTGACGTTTCTCAGTCTCAGCAGGGAGCAGGATGTAAGAAACTGTAAGCCTTTCTAGTTAGCCATGTTGGCAGCTACGTGTAATTATTTCTCCTGTTAATTTTTCAGAAATAGCAAAAAAGTAAATAGGAACTAAAAAAAACTAACAAAAGTCAAAGCCGAACAATGAAACGTGTTTCCATCACTTTTATATCACTAAAACATTACAAAGGTCAAATATCACTTCATCTAATGACACTTAATACTAACATCCAGTTAATTGATCCCTGGTTACAAATGAATTAGTTACAGTTTTTAGATTATAAATGGTCCATCATTACTATCAGTTAGTCACCTTATTATTTATATCCTGAGAGACATGCAAACATTTAAATTTGTGTTCTCAGAGTTCTGCCCTGGTGTGCCCTGGAAGGGCCTGCAGAATATCAACCCTGAGACTGACCCCAACGTGACCCCCGGCAGCGTTCCCAGTGGCCCCACCATCAACACTAACATCCAAGATGTCAACCGCTACCTGCTGCGGGACAGGAGCGGAGGTGAGGATTTGATTAAAGTGGCTTAGAGGATTGTGTCCTTAGTAAGATTTTGTGTATAAGTCGTGTTCTATGTTGCAATAAAAAGATATGGAAATAGTTTTCCCCATGATTTGAAAAAATGATTTGCCCTGAAACTGTCTGCCAGTATCATGTAGCTGCTGCCACCGAAGAGAGCCTGCTTCTTATTCTTTTTATTCTCCATCTTTCTACTTTTAACTGCTTCTATATCATTTACCAGTTTGTACTCTTCTCTTCTTAAAAAGCTTGCTATCATCATTTGTAGTACATTTTTTCTTTACTCCATTTTTTTCTCTCTGCTATTTTTTCCTTATTTGTTTGTGTCTCTATTTGTTTGTGTTGCTGGCATCGGCTTAGGCTCCTCTCCCACTTCACCTCAGAACGAGGCTCTGCCTCCCTCCACTGATTGGCCAGTCAGTGCCTACACTAGCTCGTTCAGTCTTTCATCCATGGAGACGGACGATGCAGGTACATGGATTATCCATATCCCCCACCTCATGCATTGCAGAGACTCAATCAGTGCAAATCCTTCCTGTTACTGTAACACCCAGAGCCTCAACCATTCACTGGAGAACCACGTCCTTCCTGCCCAGTCAAGTCTCTGCTCCTGGTTAATTGAGCTCTCTCCCTGTCAGCTTTGCCTCTCATGCAGTGTGCATGTCCCCTGTGGTGTTAGTGTTTCTCTTTCTTCCTTGTCTGTGACATGGGAAGTGTGAAACAGAGAAGGGTGTAGTTTGTTGTTTTTTTTATTGATTTACTGACAGTTGGATGTGTACTAAACTTTAAATGGCTGCTCTGTTTGAGTGAAGTAAATGACTTGTTGTTTGACTCTTCTGAAGAATAGTAAAACTTGTGAAACACTTAGTTGTGTCATAGTTATGCAGTGAAAGGAATGTGCTTATTATTGAGGTCTGTACATCCAACTCCCCTTTGGACACATTTAAAATAACCTTTAAATCTGATGTGTTGAGGCACATAAGCTTTCATTTTGCTCTGCAGGCTCCCTCCTGTGGGAGCAGTTGTCTTTCAGTCAGGTGGTCAACCTTTCCCTCCCTCTGCTCTGTGCAGGTAAACTGTCAGAGATGAAATCTACTTGGTCTCCTGGCCCCATTTCTCACAGCCAGGCCTCTCTGTCCCATGAGCTGTGGAAGGTCCCCCAGGGCCACAGGAGCAGTACTACGGTCCCTTCTCGGCCCCCGCCTGGCCTCACTAATGCCAAGCCTTCTTCAACCTGGGGGGGCAACTCCCTGGGTCTGGCTCAAGGTTGGAGCAGCTCTTACACCACAGGTAGTGTTACTGTGAAATATTTAAAGTTTTTTCTGCTTCTCTCCCTAAATGCTTCCTTATGCAGTAGTGGCCTTCAACAGCTGATAAAAATGGATCTTATAATGAAAATCTACACATCAGTGTAAGAAATGCAGTACATATCACAGGGTTAACAGGACGACCCGACCACGCTCCATCATCGATCAAAGCTGTAACTTTTGATCTTTTCACACAGTTTTTGTATGTGGATACAAAAGACAACAGTAGGCAGCTTTAATTTTTATCAAAATCCCACTTCAGTTTGTTTTATTATTTGATATTACTATCACAAGGAATAGCTTCAAACCCCTGGACGAGTGAGAGTGTAATAAGAAAAAAATCATTTCAATAAAAAGCATGCAGTCTGAATTGAATGCCTGTATTATTTACATGATAAATTGAGACAAACTGTTTTATGGGTTTCTTTTAATAGTGATTGAATACATATAACACTGTCACAACTGAATTTTGCAGACCATTAGACAGCAGACACATGTAGATATTTAACATACAAGTTAGTGCCCTGTTTGCAAGCAGGTACAGTAAGGCAGGTTTTACTATACTAGGAAGGTCTTGTGGTTGAACAAATGTCAACCGACACCGAGTGGTTTTTCTTTCCTCGCAGCAGAAATGACACCACCCATTTAGTTTTAGTAACTGATTTTGCATTCAGTCGAGCATGAGCAAAAACTTCAAGTTAAAAAAAAATGTTGCTGCTTTTCTGTTTCTCTCCTATACACAGCGGGCACCACGTGGAGTACAGACAGCTCCACCAGGACCAGCAGCTGGCTGGTTCTGAGGAACCTCACTCCACAGGTAACCGTTCTCTCTGAGCCTTTAAGCAGGGATGTGATGAGATCTCGCAATATTAAAATGTGACTCTATCTCTCGTCAAGGCAAAAGCTGTCTCTCAATATCATAACGCACCCAGAGCAGCAGCCAGTATGACGGCGTGTTAGCAGACATTCATGCAAACAATGCACCAGCGTTGTTTGCATTTTCTGACTTTCAGTTGATAAAAATCAATTTTTCCAGTCGTATATTTTAAGATTTAATATTTTTTTTTAAGAAGGTGTTAAAATCTTGTCTCGTTTTCATGAAGCCAATATTGTGTATCGTCTTGTCTTGTGAGCCAAGTGTATTGTCACACCACTGCCTTTAAGTGTGTAGGCCTCACAGAGAATCAGCTGGTTCTGTCCACTAATGACTACAACTAACTTTCTTTCTGTGGGCTTGTTTGTGTTCCAGATTGATGGCTCGACTCTGCGGACACTGTGCATGCAGCACGGCCCTCTCATCACATTCCACCTCAACCTGACACAGGGCAATGCTGTGGTGCGCTACAGCTCCAAGGATGAAGCTGCCAAGGCTCAGAAGTCCCTGCACATGTATGTCCATTAATGAATTCCTTCAAGGTGGAGTTTTAGGAGTTTGAGCCATTACTCATCTATGTTGCCCCTCTAATCTCTGTCCAGGTGTGTGCTTGGGAACACCACCATCCTGGCTGAGTTTGCTGGTGAGGAGGAAGTGAACCGCTTCTTTGCACAGGGCCAGTCGCTCGGTGGAACGACCAGCTGGCAGGCCACTCCAGGCACCAATCAGACAAGGATGGGTGGGGCTGGGTCTGGAGCCTCTCACCCCATCAGTCACTCACCCCACTGGAATACCAACAATGGTGGCGGCGGCGGCAGCAGCAGTAGCAGTGGCCTGGGAGCAAGCGGAGCAAAGGCAGGTGGAGAGTTGCTGTGGGGTGGTGTTCAGCAGTATTCCAGCCTGTGGGGACCCCCAAGTGGAGAGGAGGGACGGGTCATGGGGAGTCCCACCCCAATCAATACGCTGCTGCCTGGGGACCTGCTGAGTGGGGAGTCCATGTAGAACAGAAGAGCCCAGGCTAACAAACACCAACTAGAGCAAAAACCTTTCAAATCAATGTGGAGATAATCAGTATGGGTGTAACAATGGAAAGGAGAGACGAGAGGAGGATGAGGCTACATCCTCGCTGCTCACCCTCGTCGGCCTCCTCTACTCCTTTTGTTTTAATGACATTTGTTTAATTTCAGCGGGAGATTTTTATCACAGTGTTCAGCTTTTACTTTTGGAAACATAGGAAGAAGTCTTTCAACAAAGAAAAAGAACTTTTTACAGAAATGGACTTTTGAGAACTCACCATGTGAAACGTACTTTAGTCAAACTGACACAGTGACGAGCTGTCATCTTTAAACGTGCATAATCCTTCTCTGCCTTTTGAGGCAATCATACCGCACCTCAGAGATCCATGAAAAATGCATCATTCCCAAAGTGTGAGATGAAACCTTTCAATCAGAGTGGTTGTCGAACTTTCAGCTGGTCCAGACTCGACATTTTTCTCTCAGCACTAATATTAGCCTTAACCTCTTTCCCGCCCTGCTATTCTCACTCACTTTGTATTTGGTGACGAAGCATAAAGAAACTTGCACACCCTTATTTCTGAGCCAGTGAAACCTGAGTGGAGAGTACATGCTGCTGCGGCTTCACATAAGCAACCACAGATCACAACTTCAGTGCATTTTTTTCAAGCCGATTGATTTCCCCATACAATGCTCAAAGGGAATGATGCAACTCTGTTTGCCTTGTTCAGGCCATTTATTTTTCTAGTGTTTTTTTTTCTTCTCAAACCATTGCAAACAAAGCTAAGTAATGATATTATTCACATGTCTCTGTCAATCTTATGTGGTGGGGGGAGAGTTTTGGGGATCGTCACATGTACAGTTAAAACTGATGGGCGACAAACCGAACCACTTCTGTTACTATGGAACTGTAAAGACAGAAACACTTCAGTGCACCTCAACTCGTCTGCGGGCAACTCGCAGCTTGGTCTCAGTCTTGGACCCTGTCACTGACATTGCAGAAGAAACCTCATGTTGTAAACGTTTCCCAACTGAATGAAGTCAGCAACCTCCCACCCCCACCTCCCTCCTCCACCCACAAAACACCATTTCAAGTGATGTGCAATATAAGCCACAGATTCTACCGTCCGAGCACCCCTACCGTGACCTCTCTAAGGAAAAGAGAAGACTATAAGGAATGATTGAATCTACCACTACCACCCTTCAACCCCACCCCCCACGAGCGTGTGAGCTCAGGGGAGTAGCAAGCTGGTCTTCAAGCATCTCCAACCGCAAGAACATAAAGCACTTCTTCAGCCAGCGTACTCTCCACACCTATGTCAGTGACTAGTTTCAGGGGAGAGGGAGAGACAGGTGTATGTGTGTGTCTGTGTGTAAGTGAGTGAGTGCTTGGGGAGAAGGCATCAAACCAAAATGAGATGAGTCTGCTTTCCTTTTTACCACGAAGACCATATGACCCTTTTTTTTTTTTTCTTTTTGTCCAAATTTGCATTGGTCAAAAAGTATGGAGCAAATATTTGTGAATCTATGGTCTGTCGCAGCACTTAGCAGGAGTGTCGCAGCCTGTTACACCCTCAATGCCAACGAATACTAGAAAGAAGCAACACTGGCAAATAAAAACTGAAAAAGTGACAAAAAAGCAATCTGCTTAGTGGCTTCTCTATATACTTATCTTTTAACTTGGATGTGAAAATTTTTTTAAGTCCTTCTTCCCTCAAGTCAGTGGGACCAGGAAGGATGTCAGCCATGGTAGCAAAGTGAAGGGGAATACAAAGAAAGAACTCAAATGACTGTGAGTGCGGCAGGGAGAGACCCGGGCGCTCATCATCACCCTGTTTTATCAAAGTAAATATCACTGTTACATTGAAATCTTTAGCCTTGGTGTCAGTAAACGCTCGGTGTGTTTATGTTCTACTGGGTCCAGCAGGGACGGTCGCCTTCCCTTTCATCCTTTTTCTTTCTTTCTATTGAGGCCCCGCCAACCTGTGTGATAGTGTGGCCACCGAGTGCCTGCCTGCCGCAGAGTGCGTTGCTCTGCGGCAGCCCTCACTCCTCCCTTCCCCTCGCGCTCTGCCTCCCTGCAGATCCCTACAGACTGATTTCCCTCCAGGCCTCCAGGCCAAGAGCAGCTCTTTCAGAACTGGCCTGCCTGTATTAAATTTACTACTACTGCTGCGCCAGAGTCTCTGCAACCTCCACTTCCGCGCTCTCTGTCTCTCTCCTGCAAGGATCACTTTAGCCAGAGATGGAGGCATTTGATGTTTTTTTTTGTTTTTGTTTTTTTTTCTTGGTTTCACTTTTGGAATTGTCAGTGTACATTTTTATTTTACTGTTGTAAGAAGTTTGCTGATATTGTTGCTGTTATCATTGATGATATAGTTAATGATTGTTTATTGGTCTATATGCAGTGTTGAGCTTCTCTCCTGCTCCTCCCACTGTGTCCGATGCAGAAACTGTGTGTAGTTTAGAGGTACGCTTCACCTGTGCAGCAAGGCCATAGGAAACACTGCAGATCTCAGAAGGAAAGGCTGTTGGGGGAGTGTTTCGCGTTGGAATCAGACAGGGGTTTGAAGATTCAAGTCTAGTGGGAAAGGTTGTGTAGTCAAAGGTTCTGTCCAGGATGGTGAGCCAGCTTCTTCTGTCCATCCTGGGGCACCAAGGGGCACCAAACCTCCGCTATGTGCCGTCTCATAACACACACATCCTTTAGTGTCGTTGAGCCTCATGTACACTGGTGCTTTATGATTAACTCTGGGAGCACTCAGTTACACTTAGAACCACCTCAACTGATAGCAGCCTTCCATTTCTATGCAAAGACCTGGAGGTGTTCATTCATAGCCATCTAGAAAATCACAGCCATCGTGCACATCTGCCAGTCTTCACTCATCTCTCAACCTTTACTAGCAGGCAGCTTCCCTCGAGACCCCCCCTCCCCCCTTGGATTAACTGTAGGGGACGCTGAAAGAGTCTCTCTTCAAGGCTTTAGTCTCCCACTGTGTGGACAGATCTACCCGATGACACTAAATGACCTGCTGGAGGCACCAGTGGTTGGCAAACAGTCACTTCTTCAGTCTTGTGCCAACTGATCTACAAATACCTACTTCCACTTTGCCATATCCTAATTTATCTTTAGTGTGATGAGACTTAAGTTCCTTTTCTTGCTGCAGGGGCGTGCACCATCTGCTCCAGCTGTAGAAGGCTAGAGGAGTAAAAGAGCAGGACAGATGAACGGTGCTGCTCTGTCACCAACAGGGAACTGGAAGTGTAGTGGAGAACCAAGCTGCAGGAGGATGTGGGGGTTTGTCCTTGTATGTGTCTGTGCACTGTTTATGGGTCACATCGGGTACATCTCTTTAAAAACCAAAAACATTATCTTCTTCTTTATCAAGGTTTTCACAAAAACTAGAAACTACAAAAAAAAGGTCTGTTTCAGCTGTGCACTCCGAGGCTGAGATGCCTGTGTTCTGTTTCCCTGCAAGCTGCCGCCTTCTCACCTCGTCGGGCCTCCCTCTGCAGGCCACATCTGGGCAAACTGTATCCAGGAGGTCCGTTCCGGGCCTCCAACCTGAAGGCTGCACCAGCTGATATTTAACAGGTCATGTGCACATCTGACTTTGGGGTCAGGGTCCCAGCAGGGACCTGGTGTATCAGCAGAAACAGGGACGCGCCTCAAGTTCGGTACCAAGTCTTAAAACTTAGGGGACTTTCCCTCTTCCAGAGTCGCTTTAGACTCATGTCATTCAACAAAACAATCACTATTGCCTGTGTTTGTTTGTTTGTTTGTGTGTTTGTTTGTTCCTGAAAACCCGCATTTACTCCACACTGGACTTGAATCAAGGAACTGGCGTTGAAGTGGGGAGTTGAATAGAGTGGGAGGATGGATCACTGGGACGGAGGTTGAGTCTCAGATGTGCCCTGGATTTCTTGGCGCAGCACCAGCACTGAGAGCCCCGCCCTCTCCCACACCCCACGCCTGCACTCTTATCTACCTGTCTAGTGTTGGAAATCAGATGTGCTCCCTTTTTTTTAAAGTCACATGGACTTAAAGGCAACTGGAGCTCAAGCAAAATATGTTTTTCAATCACGGATCAGACAAGGATCTGGGGCGGGGGCCCTGTAAAGAGTTGAATTAGCAAATCTCTCTTTAAAAACAAAGGCCTGGGTTGAATATGCACATGCTAGTTCATATACAGTGTACATCCAAGAGTACATTATGGGTGTATGTGTGTATATGGCTAGGTCTCTCTGTTTTCCACTTAGCCTAAGCCTTTACCCCTCCCCCTGCACTGGCGTCAGCTCTTACCCTGTGTATCCTCCTCAACAATGTATTTCCCAGAAGACAAGATCATAAACATATCAGAGTAATACAAAATAATGAAAACAAATACTTGAATCAAAAGAAGCGCCAATAATGTAATGTGAACACTTTTTGTAGTGGTTTTTTTGTCTCATTCATACACTTCAGAGATTTTTGATAGTGTCAGTTCAGAGTGAATTAAATTTGAAATACGTGTTGTTAAACAAAGCGATTATAAAGGCAAATTTACATCTGTTGTATTTGAGTGTTTGCACAAGACTGCTTGTACTGTATGTGGTTCGAATGAATGTTTAGTGTGGTGGCTGAATATGTATGAGTGATTACAGCGGAGGAGTTTCCTCATGTTTCTTTTCAATTCAGTATACTTTTTTTTTTTTTTTTGGCTTGTCAAAAATATATTCTTATGTTAATTATTACTAGCCTCTAGCATTGCACTGAGTGTCAGCCTCACCCCTCATCCAGCTAAATGGACAACATGATACAAGTACTGAGGGGAGACGGGGACAGTTCATGTGTAAATGTTTACTCAAGGACTAAAGTAATTGTGTTTTTAAAATGTAATGTTTATCTACCTTAGTGGCTTCATTGTGAAATAATCCACGAAAGTATGGATCATAATTGAATATTGCACCATTTTTCAGCTGTGGCCATAGACTGAAGTAGAAGGACTTCAGCTCACCCACATCTGAGCAACGGGGAGCGTGAAGGACAAGACATCAGACCGAGCCTCGGCTTCTTGGGCTCACTTCAGAGGTGCCTACCTTTTTGGTTTGTTAGCTTTCGCTCTGTTTTCACTTATGTTCAGTTCACTTATGTTGTCATTTGTTTTCCTGCAAGGCCACTGACAGTTTACAATCACTTTTTCTTTTCTGGAGTTCAACAAAAGATCAGCAACACAGAGGAAATAAACCATGGGAATGTTGGGAAAAGGAAAAAAGGATACATGCTTCCATTTAAAAAAAAAAAAGCAACACTTCACAGAATGAAGATTTATTGTGCTACTTTCAGAACTCTGGGATTGAACAGTGTTGTCTTGTTCTGTTTGACCTTCTTTGTTCTGTGTTAATGTTGATTTCATGGACTATCAGAAGCCTGTATGTTTTATGTTGATTATATACATATATATATTTCTCCTTTGTATAAAAAAAAGAAAAGAAAAAAGACGTAATTGCTCACTATCTTGCACACACACAAAAAAGTGGATCTTGTCTCAGGAAGGCCAGGGTTCCAGAGTACCAACTCCACACCATTTTAATGTACATTTTTATGATGAGTTAAAAAAAAAAACAAGGATGATTTACAAGAAAGAATTCTAAGCACTGAAAGTTATGGATTTCAGAAGAAGAGAAAATACCTTTGTTTCTAAATCCGTAGCAGTTACATAATAACCAAATATGGACTTTAAATGAGAATGGAGTGCTTTATATATAAATCTATATATTAAAATTGCTTTACATTAAAAAGTCAATGATTTTGATTGTTTAAAAAAAAGCGGTAAATAACATGCAAAATGCTGTATGTTTGAATCTTTATTGTTTTCCTAATGAGGTCCCGTCCTGACTGAATCAGAAACATTGTGCATTACTCTTTCCTCTTTCTCTCTCATTCTCCCACAGCGGGTATTATTAATAAATAAATCAGACCTTTGTGGAACATTTTTTCACATTTTTGAGGATGTTTGTAAAACGAGCTGGTTGTAAAGGATCATGAAACTATGCACAAGTGTTGTGGGGGGGCGGTAAGATGGGGATTTTATGGCCTACTTCTTGAGTGGCTGGTCTATTGCAGGGGTTTTGGGGTTTTTAATGTCTTTTTATTTTTTTGTTTTTTAAGGGGGTGGAGGGAGGTGGAGAGGCGACTGATGTTGAGCCCTCCACCTCCAGCTTCTTTCCCCTGGTTCAGATTGACCTAGCGCTACATCGCCATGCTGTGTATACCTAAAACCAATGAGCATCTCACTCTTTAGCACTGTGGGATTCTAGCCTGTCACCCTCAAGGGTTTCTTTTCTCTCTCTCTCTCTCTCAGTTGATATGTTTTTTGGAGGGTGGGCTGGGGGTGTGGGATTAGGGCTGCCTCTTTTTTTTTTTTTTGCCTTTTTTGAAATATTAAGTAAGTGTCTGTACTGAGATTTAATAAGTCAGTGGCTTGTAATGTTTTATTTTTTCTCTCTGTATATCTTTCTCCTCATAGAATGTGATTGACATGCACCGAAACAATGTTTTCATGAACTATGGAGCTTCTTTCAAATATTAATAAAATAGCTTTTTTTTTTTTTTTCTTGGCCGATACAGATGTGCCTTTTGGTGTTTGTGTCTTTGCTCCAGCAGATTATCGGTCTTGTTTCCCAGATGAGGAGTCTCCTTCAGAGCAGCTTGTGTGTCGTTCTGCAGCTCTCGTTTCATATTTTTGCAGCAGAGCCGGAGTCATTTCCTGCATCATAGCTGCACCATTAGTTCGATGCCAGAAGTCACGTCACCTTCTGGAGGCAAGCTGTCTGGGACAGGCGTAGTAGTTGTCTTGTGGTTGTCGGAAGCTGGGGTTGGCGTACACCGGGAAGTCGACTTCCTCCAGGTGTGAGGGGGTCTCGTGGTTATTTCTGGGGATCATGTCACTCTGCTGCTTCCTGGTCATTTCCTCATAGATAGGAGCAGGAGGCTGTGGTCTGTCATGATGCCTCACCTTCGTCAACAACACACAGCATGTACTTGTTCCATTTATGTACAGTGTGTTCATTTAACAAGCATCCCTGCTTAACATTTACCCCCTGGACCAAGTATATATTTGCCACTTTTCACTTGTTGTCTTTGCCGGTTAATCTGTTGGTCTGCAAAATGTCAGGAAAACGTGACAAATGTCCATCACAGTTTCCCAGAACCCAGAGTGACCATTTAAAAACTCCGGTCCAAAAGGTATTTGGTTTACAATTCCTCAAAGAGTAAGAAGGTAGGTGTTTACATTTGAGGAGCTGGAACCAAGAAATCTTTTAGAATTTTTACTTATAAACAACTTATAGATGATTAACTGATTATCAAGTGTTGCAGATTAACTACATGTTTAATAACAGTAGAGTAATGTCGCTGAGCAGCAGCTTCCTCTATTAAAACGTATATTTAAAACCGTGCAGTGATGACCTCATGTGCTCTAGGTCAACCAGTGTTTATTTAGATAGTCTTGGCAGGAAGTGTGACGTGCTGCACAATTTTAGGCCTGAGGTGGAAATGAAGTACTGTGCATTTACTCAGGTCCTGTGCTCGAGTACAGTTTTGAGGTATTGGTATTTCACTTGAGTATTTCCATTTGCTGCTACTTCAGACCTTTAGAGGCAAATGTAATTTTACTCCATTTGATAACTTGACTTCCCCTAATCAGATTAATAAAACTGAATACAGTATAATACAAGACTTTATTGACCCCTGGTGGGAAAAATCACATGCTACCCAGGAGTATATGAAGTTCCTTGAAGTATATAGCTCTATCTTCACCAGCTGCAATATGAAAGTGATGAACCTAATAATGCACTACTAATGAGAAACAGGCCATTCTGCATGAGTACTTTTACTTTTGATAGTTTATGTATATTTTGCTAATACATTTGAACTTAATATAACCTTTTGAATGCAGGACTTTTACTTGAGGTGTTAATACTCACACATTTCTTTATGGCCAACCAGCTGATTGTGAGCAGAAGAAGTCCTGCTGCTGCAAAGATGGTCCAGATCAGTGGAGGGTAACTGGGAGAGCAGTGGCATGGCCTCCCTGCCCCACAAACACGTCAAAGCACATTAAAATCAGAACATACTTTGGTTTACTTGTAGTAATGTTTTAAGCACATACCTGCTCCTTCAACCAACAAGAAGACCTTCTGAGTGCTGAGGATGAGGTCGGACTTGTTCTCCTTTCTGTAGCTCAGATCCCACATGTACAGCCCCGTGTCACTGAGCTCTAAGTGGGATATGGTCACATTGACCTGCAGGGAGTCCAGTCTTCCACTCAGTTGCAGACGTCCCCTGTGCGCCGTGTTGACCCGGAGATGGTCACCCTCAGCCATGGATAGCAGGGTCGTCTGGCTCTGGGCGCTGCGGTGGTACAGGGTGAGGCCCGTCAGGCTGCCGAGCTCCTGCTGAGGGGAGCAGGAGAGCTCCAGAGTCTGGCTTTGCTTCAGATGCCTAAAGATCAACTCTGCACAGGCTGGAAAACAACAAAAAAAAAATGGGTCTAGTTATGGTAAAAGTAGTTTCTGACCATGTTACCTGACACTGCTCTGTGGGTGGCAGCCTGTTTGTTGTTCCACCACTTTGAAAATGAATGAATGAAATTTTACTATAAGCGAACTGCCATAAACGTTGTACAAATATTCACTGCACCAGTGCACTGACCAGTCCCACAGATTTAATGGCCGTGACTTTTCCATCAAAAATTCTTTTTTTTCTGTTAAATCTCTACCACATGGATTGATGCAAAATGCTCCCAGAGGATGAACTATAGCATTGTTAAATAAATACATGCAAATATAATGGACCTAAGCCTCTAATTTAAAAGTGATAAATACAAGAATCTTAATAACATGTTAAAATAAGATTATGGTAAATATTAAACTGTACTTTCTGAACATAAATAATAAAAATAAATAAAAATCAAACACTGACGTGGATCAACACTCCAAAAACCAACAAAACCAGGTACAAGGTCAGAAAACAAGTCAAATGTGTCTTGGCTATGTTGCAGAAGCAACATCTTTGCTCAAAATTCCATCGCAAAAAGTCAAAACACCACTGATAGAAAGGATGAGACTGGCAATATTCCACATTTTTCTGATAGTCACATCCCATGAATACTAAAATTAACAGTGGATTGCTACGACTAACAGGTATCATCTGTGTGGCCAAATACTGATGCCACAGAGCACCACTGCTGTAAAAAAAATAAAAATAAATAAACAAAAACACAAGTGAGCCCCTCCATTTGTTGAAAAGGAAATTATAGATATAGTGAACAAATGTGGTAATAAATCATCCAGTGATAGTGATGGTATCAGTATGACAATGGTTAAATGGGCACTCGAGGGGAAATGCAAACCATTAATCCATGTTTTTAACATGTCGTTTCGACTTGGTCAGTTCCCCAATAATATGAAAATAGCAAAGGTTATTCCACTGTATAAATCTGAGGATAAGCACAACTTCACAAATTATAGACCGGTTTCTCTGTTGTCACAGTTTTCAAAAATCTTGGAAAAACTCTTTAATAACAGATTAGACACATTTATTGATAAACATAGAATCCTCTCTGATTGCCAATATGGTTTTAGGTCGAACCGATCGACATCTCTGGCCATTACTGAGCTAATGGAGGACATAACAAGTGCTATGGATGAGAGGAAATACATTATGGGAATATTTATTGACCTAAAAAAAGCATTTGACACAATCAATCATGAGTTATTAATGGATAAGTTAGAAAAATATGGGATCAGAGGATTGGTCTTGAATTGGATTAGAAGTTATTTGACACAGAGGCGTCAATTTGTGAAGTTGGGTGAATACCAATCGAGTGAGCTGGACATTGTATGTGGAGTGCCTCAGGGTTCTGTTTTGGGACCTAAATTATTTATACTATACATTAATGATATATGCAAGGTTTCTGATTTAGTGAAAGTGGTTTTATTTGCTGATGACACTACCATATGGGCATCGGGTGAAAACCTACAGCAACTCTCTGGACAGGTT